ATGAAGTTGGAATTGTCCAGGAGGTGCTGCTCTCATTTTCCTATAAATAGAGATGTCCTCCGTAGTATTCAAACACACCAAGCTCCACAACTCTTGAGCTTTCTCTCTTCCCTCCATCTTTCTAAGTTTTAATTTCTGTTTTTAGTTTTATTTTATGGGGAACTAACTCCCTAGCTAAGGCTAGGGGGAAAGCTTTTAATATAAGTGTGTAATTTTTATTAGTTTGATCCAAACTTAAGCTTTAATGTGAATTTGTAGTTTTTTGTTCAAATGGAATTTGTAGTTTTCTTTTTAATTAATTGATGAATGTTTGATAATCTATTTCATGGGTTCAATCATGTTTTTCCCATTGTGTAGTAAAAACTTTCATGCTTTTAAAAGAGAAGAGAATTAATTACTAAAGATTAATAGAATTTCGATGAAGTTTATTTTTTGATAGTTTGTTGCCAATGGTACAAGTTATGCTTAGAATACTTCTAAAGGAAATTAAAAAGAGCTTTAATTATTTTGAACAACTACAATGGAAAATATTTTGTGGATCAAATTATTAAGAGTTGCATGCTTATGTTAAAAGTGGAACCCCAATGCCTTAGTGTTTTAATCAATTAAATTTTCTCTAAATCAAATCTTGCATAAATCTACCTCTCAATCATAATTGTTCTTTTTCATCTCTGTTATTTTCTTTACACTGCTCTCTGTGGATACGACACTCGGACTTCCGAGCTACACTGCTATACGACATCTCCCTTGGGTTTTGCAAAGTGGTGCGAACAATGACTTTGATCTCATGTGCAGTAACTACGGTGACTTTGTTAATTATGCTATGTCACTATATTTTGCTTATGAATCCCTTTTGCTTTTAAAAAGAAAATGTTGCATATGGAGTATGATATGTTTTTATGGTGTATGTTGTGTACTTTGTAGAATTTTTAATTGGGGAAGTCTTATATATGGTAATTTTATTTGGAACATTTAATAAAAGTTTTATAAAAACTATATTAATTTAATTAT